TCAAACACTTCCCAAGTTCCTCCATGGGAGTTATACAAATTAGCCACTGAAAAGGCAGTAATTTTAGTTTAGCTAGGTAAGTGCTTTTTGATTGCCTTCCTGAACAATGCTTCCCTTGACAAGCTAATAAATCAGCCCTTTCTGAATCAGAAGTGCAGCAAGTGCGAACAATAACTGCACATAGTTTCTGCRCCGATTTCAGCTGCAAGGCCTAAGAGGATGATCTGGGATCAAAGTCGCTCACTTTATTGCGGGGYGAGAGCTGCTTGAGGAAGAAGATCCACGGAGAAAACTAGGGAAGGGGGGTGGAATTTTCAATCAACTAATGAAAAGAGGGGAGAGAAAAACGTCTTGAAACAAAAGGAGGGCGGGATGTGGGGGYTTGGTGGGGCTCCTGCATTAGGGACCGCTGAATTTCATCCCTGGCCACACGCGTTTTGGGGCTCCAGCACCGAGCTGGATGCGCCGGCGGCTTCACGGGGAACCCTCAGGGCTGTATTATCATTTCACCGAATTGCTGCCTTTTGACGGCATTTTTTTTTAAAAACTTGGCCGTAAATCATGTCACTAATCAGCTGTCACCAGCCACGTCGCATACACTGGCGCTCAGCCGGGGGATSTGTTTGGGGAGGCCTTCAGCGACCCAAACGGTGCTTGTATCAATAACCGCCCGTTCGTGCCGCGCGCAGGCGGCTCCGAAACGCCGGCAGAAACGGGGGGAGGCAGCGCAGCGAAGGGGCCCCCGCGGTATTTTAAGTGCGGTGGCTCTTCCTCCCCGCGTTAACTTTCCCTCCGCACATCGCCGCGTGCCTCTGGAAATAACTTGGCGAGCGGGGAGCCGTTTATCTCCTTTATCTCGGGACCTGATCCAATTAAATAAGTGCGAATTTACATCTGCATCCATCAGGCCGGAGCGCGGAGCGCGCTACGCGGCTCCCTCCGCGCAGAGAAGACGATTTCGCTGAGAAACAAAATAAATAAATAATAATAATAATAATGAAGAGGTGTCTGGGTGAAATACGCTCCATTTCGGCCGCGCCGCGCAGCGCAGGGGGCTCCTGCGGCGCGGCCCGGGCCGCGCTCCCTGCGCGCTGCGGCTCCGCACACGCGCAGCTCCGTAGCCCCGGGGCGCGCAGGATAGGCGTTGTGCGGAGCTTTGCGGGCGCGGGAGCTCCCGGCTCCCTCCTGATGGGGATGGGAGCGGAGCGAGGGCAGCGCGGAGCGGCCGTCGGGGCAGGGCGAGCTTTGGGGGCTCCGCGGCCGCGCATCGGGGCGCGGGGCCGTGTGCGCGGGCGCGCATTTGTGCCGCATGCGGCCGCGGAGGAGCAAGACGCAGACTTGGCCTTTTTCTCTGTCAGAGCCGGGTAAAAAGAAACAGCTGGCCTGAATTTTTAGCACCCATAATTAATTAAGAGCTTCATTCCTGGGATTTGATGATTCAATAAAGCAAGACCCTTATTCCCCCATGTGATTCCAGTGAATATCTACTCCACTCCAAGCCTTTCGGGTCCCAAGATAGGGCAGATTAACACCCTTTTTTTTTTTTTTTTTTTTTTTTTTTTTTTTTTCTGTGGGAGAGAGAGGGAAAAAAATGCCTCAAGATTGCATCTGAGGCGCACACAAAAGGTAAATTCAAAACTGCCACTTGTTCTCTGCAAAGGCTGCTTCTCTGCCGCTATTGATGTATTTGTGCCAGGTTTTAAAGAAACCAGAGGGGGGATGAGGAATTAACATATTGCTCATTTGGAAAAACAGCCGGTTCTGTTTTTGGTAACACTTGTTCCCTTGCCAGCCACAGATGTCCTTACTAATAATCTAAGCAGGTCACATAAAGCGGGGAGCGAGACGGGGAGGGGGGTGGGTCCCGCCGCCCTTTCCGCGCCGTGGGGCCGGGGGACCGTCCGGACCCGGCCCCGGCTCCGGCTCCCCTCTTGCGGCGGGTCCTGCTCGGCCCGCTTCGGGCTGCGCTCCCGCGGAGACCTGCGCGCTCTCCTTGCGCCCCACTTGCGGGGGGTGGCATGGTTATTTTTTGTATTATTGKTATTAATAATAATATTTATTTTTATTGCTGATTTTTGACTTAATTTTCCCCCTTCTGACCTTGATAGACGGAAGGGTTTGAATTTAAGCTATTTTATCGCAGCTGAAAAACTTTTTTTTTTTTTTCCCCATCCCTAAACTTGCTGAGCGTGCCCTCTTCCCCGCCTCGACCCCTGGCTCTCGTAGCTCCCAGGTACTTCCTAGTCGCGACACGCGACGCAGCCCCTCGCCCTGAGCCCCTCGAGCCGATTCGCCCTGCGCAGCCGCGGAGCGCGGGGCCGGGCGGAGCGGCACCGAACCGGGCTAGGGCAGAGGGGCGACAGCGGGACACGGCCGGGACCCCGGGGCGCCGCTTCCCGCCGCGGAGGCTGCGCGGGCGCGAGCGGAGCGGCTGCTCCGACGGCAGCTAAGCCCGGCCCGGGGCTTGCGGCGGCCCCGCTMCCCTCGACGGCTTCTCCCTGGGCCAGCCGGGCCCGTCGGTTACTGCGGACCCCGGGAGGCCGCGTCCCTCCCGCGGGCGCGGAGGGCCCGGGGCGGAGGCACCTGCCGCCCCCGGCCCCGCGGGGCTCGGCGCGGGAAGCCTCAACTGGCACCGGGCGCTATTTGTATTTCAAGACAATCCTCAATTATCTTTCAAAAAAAAAAAAATCATTTTTTTCCCCCAAACAATGTGCAAGGGGAAAAAAAAAAAAAAAAAAAAAAAAAAAAAAAAAGACGGCGCTGCACGCTTCTCCCTTCTTTTTAAGCAGAAAGCAGGAAAATCGGACTTATTTTTAAAGCGGGCTGAATAGCGCGGCTCCCGCGGCAGAGGGAACGGGCGAAGAGTAAAATCAGTGTATGAAATCGATGGGGCCATAATAATAGTTAAGGTTTAAAATAGGCGACAGGCTGCAACCCAAAGGAAATGGACTAATTCCCTTAGGAATTTAAACATCAAACGAAAACGGTACCGAGATCGCTGATAGACCTATTCAAAATAGCCCTTATTATAAGGAACGGGGCTTTTGAACGAGCGAAGCGCCTAAGCTGCTTTGCAAAGTAGCTTTTTTTTTTTTTTTTTTTCTCCCTTCTCTTCTCTTACAGATAGGAAGATCAGCCGGGGAAAAGGTGGCGCGACAATTAAAAAAAAAAAAAAAAAAAAAGAAAAAAAAGAAAAAAAAAAGAACGGTGGTTAGATGAATAATTAAACCCTATTTATTTCGACATAAGCGTTTAGCGGCGGGACCTGTTGTCTCTGTCGGGGAGGGGTGCGGGATTCGCTCCAAGGGAAGGGGACTCGGGAGTTTTCCCTGAGTTCGGGCAAAGGCAAAAAAGCCGCCGCGGCCGGAGGTGCCCGCGGGGAGCGGCGGCTTCCGCGAGCGCGCAGCGACGCGCGGAGAAACGGGGCGAAGTTTCTGCTGCTTCGCGCGGGGCAGGTGAGCGCAGCCAAGCCGGATTCCCCACGGAAAAATCCGCCTTCCTGCAGGTCCCCCCCGGCCGCAAAGAAAAGATCCGACGGAGGAATCCGAGCKTTTTTTAAAAAGTCATTTATAATTTATAAAGTGACAAAATAACATACTATTATCCCAGGAATATCTGATTTCTTTACACATTCAGCTTGAAACAATTTCGTTTTTTTTTTTTTTCAACCAAGTTATCTACATGGTTCGTATAACCAAGTGAACAGCAACTGCATCCTTAAAACGTAAAGCGCGAACTACTATTTAAAAACCCCGTAAAATGTAAATACGCAGGAATAAACGCGTTACAGCTAATAAATGGCTCCGGCAAAGTTGAAGAGATTATAAAATAATTATCGGGCTTGTAATAATAATAGTTATTATTATAATTAAAAATATTATATAAAAAGGGGGATCGAGCAGGACGGAGGGGGCTGTGCAGCAGCTCAGCTCTGCCCGCGGGGCCCTTTGCGCGGCGGGGAGCGGAGCAGCGCGGCCGGGCCGGGCGGGTAGCGCGCAGTTTGCGCGGGCAGTGGCGGAGGCTCCGCGTCGCTGTCACCCCCCCCCCTCCCGCGCGCGGCGGGGTCCCCGCGCCCCTGCGCGCCTCGCTGCGCGCCCAAAGCTGGGCCGAGTGTGACACCTACCTGCGGGCGCGGGGAAGCACCGCGGGCGCGCAGCGCTGCGCAGGGGGCGCCTAGCCCCCCGCCCCAGCCCGGCCCCGCTCCCGCGCCGCAGCGCGGCGGCCCCGCGGAACCGGCACCAAGGGCTAAATCTGGCAGAAAATCGAACTCATTAGCGGAGTTCAGCAGCTGATTGCCGGGCATAAAACGCGACACTGATTGGGAGTAATTAGGTTAAAAGACGGGGGCCGCGCTCGGGCGCGGTGTTTCCAACAAGTGCTTTTGTGCCTGGCCTCGTTTCAGCGCGCACCTCCGCGGGGGCCGCTCCCGCGGAGCCCCCCCCGCGCCGCGGGACCCCCCGGGAGCGGCGCGGAGCCCCGCGCGAGGCCCCGATCGGCCCGCGGCGCGAGGGAAGCGCGGGGCCTTCCTTAAAAACCTCTTGCATTAAATATCCGCGCCTTACCAAGACGACTGCAAGATTTTTTCTTCCGTTTTTTTTTTTTTTTCTGTATCTAATAAGTATAACCTATTATTTTTCTTTTTTTTCCCATTAAACTTTAGGTCTCACTCAAGGGGAAAAAAAAACAATAGCCGTAAAAAATTAAATTAAACTTGTATATATATATTTTTAAAACTATGAAAACAATTCGGGAAAAAAAAAGACACGGAAATGTATATATTTATATTACGAAAACAACATTAATGCCTGTACAGGTGTCTCGATTTCATAATTTACTTCAAAGATACTGTATTATCAATTTAAATACAAAAAAAAAAGCTACATTAAATATACAGAATTAAAGATTTAATACAAATCTTTCTTCTCGCTGCGTGTGAGGGGGACAGGGCGCGCGTCAGTCGCTTGCTTTTCACTCGCTTTAAGACATTTCTGAGCGGTTTCCACCCAGCCATTTCCCTTGGACTAGAAAGTTTTGAGCGCGGTGCTGGGGGCAGCGGCGGGGGCGATAAAGAGGTGGAGGGAAATGGTCTTTTGTTTTTTTCCTGTTCGTTTCGGTTTTTTGGTAGTGGAAAAATAACTGCCAAAGCGATTTATTATTTCTTTCAATAAATTAAAAAAAAAATAAAAAGGAAAAGGAGGGAGCCCCGAGGGCGCGTCCCGCGGGGCGCAGAGGAGAAGCCGGTATTAAATGCTGGACATACCTTTCTTGGGCTCGTAGGGCGAGTCCTTGCCCAGGTCCGCCTGGGCCGGGCCGCGGAGCAGCTTGGCCTCCTTGGCCCCGCCGTCGGCTCTGCCGAGCACAGTCTGGTTTAATCCATTGAAGGGGCCGCCGGGGCCGCCGGCGGGGCCGTGCAGGGCCCCGAAGGAGCCGTAGTTCGTGTAGCCGGGGTAGAAGGGCGCCGTGTAGTAGAGCGGCCGCGGCAGCACCGCGCCGTTGGGGAAGGGGCACTGCGCGGGCGGCGAGCGCGGCCGCGCGGGGGGCGAGC